CCCCTCCCGGGCCCGCGCGCATGGAAGCCTCCGCCCCTTAGCCCCCGCCTCCAGCTGCCCAGCCCCTGAGGCTCAGTACTGCTGCGGGATCCTGGGAGTTCAGAGCTGAGCACCCGGAGCTGAGCACTGTCCTCTGTGCCTGTCTGCACGTTCTGGACATGGCTCAGGAGAAAATGGAGCTGGACTTTGAGCCTGACACATCTGAGGGGGGCATCCTGAGGAGATCCAACAGCGCTCCCATGATCTATGGGGTCAGGTGAGCAGAGTTGGGAAGCATGAAGTAAGGGTCTCCTGGGTCCTTTGACCCCTGGCAAGCAGTCAGCCTTTCCTAAAGTGCAAATTGGAGCTCATTTGGGTTGTACAAACCGAGGAGGTTCGGGACCTGTTTGCTTCAGTGTCTTGGCTCCCAAGGTAGAGTGAAGTTTGACCCTAAACTCTGGGCAGTGTGAGGGTAGAGGACCCTCTATCTGAGGCTCTGTTGTCCCACTCTAAATGGCACTCACTCCAGACAGCCTCTGGCTCTTCTGACAGGTTGCTAGCTCTGCCTAGTCAACACCACTCAGCTTCAGACTGAAGCCCCTGGAATTGGGCTTGCAACTTGACACCTGTCCCTAAGAGCTGCTATTTCGAAGCTTAGCTCAGGAACCTCAGGCCTTAACAGAGGTTCAATAAATCACAGTTTATCTAATAACTTGTCATGAAATGGTGTCTTTTTTTTCAAATGAAAGGAATTGGATTTGTTCGCATGTTTTCAGACTTTAAAATTCTCTGAAATGTATTTTTGTGAATAAAAACAAAAATCAAGTGTAGGTATTAGAAAATGAGGGAAAGAATCAAAGGGAAAGAATCGAAGAAGCCAGCAGACGATCTTTTTGAAGGGAGAAGCTTGTGATAATCAAGGGTCGTGGGCTTACCTTCTGAGCATATTGCACTCCTAAAAGTAGACAATTCATCTTCTGGAGAGAGCCAGTTTGGGAAACCCTATCAAAATTAGTCTTAAAAAAGGGATGGGAATGGGATTAGCCAGAAACATTAATCAAACACAGTGAGGGCAAGGAAAAAAAGCAGTCCTTGGGTATAGAACCAATGTAACATCTATATGTGGGGGAATAGGGACAGAGTCACTTTTTTCTTTTATTGAATGCTATTTTGAAACCGAGGGTTTAATTGAGTAACTTTTTTTTTTTTTTTAATCTTTCCTAAGACTATATTATTTTTGTCACAATAGGAATAAACTGGTCCTTTTTCTTGTCTTTTTTCATCTGGCAAGTGATCCTGGTGACCTGCATTTAGGGAATTCTCTAAATAAACTGATGTTTTTTTTCTTTTAAGATGATGATTTAAGTCATTACTTGAAGATAGCATGGCAGATAGGCCAGACCTCAGCCAAGTTTTCTCACTAGCTAAGATCGTGAATGAATCACTTAGCCTTTCTCATTTAAAAATCAGGAGGGCTGAGTTAGGTGATCTCAGCGAGGCCTTGAAGTCCAATCCAATTCAGTTCTGGCAAGCCTTCTTGACCACTTTTCATGGTCAAGGTACTCTGCTAGGCATGGCAGGGTCATCCTATAAAGACATTTATAAAGGGCTTCAAGACACATTGCTTTAAGATAAAGTAGAAATTGTGGTCTTTTCTCAAGAAGTGTCTCATCTCCCACTGTGTGCTATTTGGGTTAACCGATTGCATTAGGTTGGTGGGGGGATACCGAAGGGCACTATGGAGGCCTGGCATTGAAGCTGGGCATTGTAGAAGGGGAGGGGTTCTAACATGATAGTAGGAAGGCCGAAGAAGGAGCAGTGGTGAGCCAAACCTCAGGTATCTTTCTTCAAACTCTTAGTGGGACATGTGTGGTTAGGGATCTCATCTCTCTGCACATACTATAAAAAAGATGGGGTTTGTAAAGCCTGTGGGATCAACAGATGAGGCTAGCCAGGTCTGCTGAGAATCAGTTTGAGGGTGTGAGCTCTGGCCAGAAGCAGCTGGAGGTAACCAGTATACAGCTCCACCCA